ATAGCCCATTTGGTGGCTAGAAATGTCCTCTCATTATGCCCGGCTACATGTCGATTCTTTGATTTTCTTACCTGAATAAATTCTAGGGTGTACTAATCTATTATTCGATTCAATATATCTGATTACCTTTTGTTAAAAAAAATAATAATCCTATAGCTGCACCCAATGAGGCTTTTGTTTTATGAGACCCATTAGCATACAGCTGAAAGGCCCATTAAGACAAATAAAAAAGGGCCATAAAAAAGGGCCATTAAACATTCGAGCACAAAAGGCATTTTTTTGGCGTAATGGGCTAAGGTCCAGCTTTACGCCTCGTCTTTACTTCTCTACCTACTTTCTTCCACAAGTCTCCTCCTCGTCGCTTAACTCTCCTTGTTACACGTTAGCACATTCCTCTGCGTCAAAAACTCCACACCGTCTCAACAGTCGTACTCGCTCACTCATTTTCAATCGACGCAGCAGAAGAAAATGGCCACGTCTCTTTCTTCTCTCCTGCTCCTCTCCATCTTCATCGTCTTCGTCTCCGTTTGCTCGGCCGCCGAATCCACCGCCACCGTCCAGCCTCATGCGATCGACTCGTTCAATCTCAGCTTGATTCAGGTACCACTCGCTCTCCTCTCTTTTGTTCTGCTGAACTATGTCAGTCGTTTTGCTTATTGAACTTCCTGTTGTGTCGCCCGGTGTAAAAGAACGTAGGGAGCTGTTCTTACACGGTGGTTATAAGCACGAGCTGTTCGTCGCCGGTGTACACTCGCGATCAAATCAGTATCGCCTTTGGGGACGCCTATGGGAATCAGGTCAGGGAACACTCTGTCTATTCTCTCTTTGATTTTCTTTTCTGAATCAAATTCGATTTTTCATCCTCGAATTGATGAACTGGATGGAGAAGGAACGATTAGTTTCTGGTGTACTGTTATCTTGATTATTAGAGCATCTGCATGTGATCCATTCAGCAATGAATCGCCACTGATTATGTCTGTGAGTGAAATTGAATTGGCGGTAGTAGTAGTTCTAAGATCACTGGCAACGGAGTCATTACAGTGATTCTGAAGCTTCTTTGAACCTGGAGATTCACTCTCATGATATTTTATTAGTGTAGAGTTTCTTTGTAATGTTCTCTTAGCTTTGATTAGAGTTCACGTGAGAAGGATTCCCTCAAATTGTTAAATTGATTGTTTCTCTTTATTCTTGTATGTTTGTCTGCTCTCTGCTACTCACCGCTGCCAATGTAAAACCTTTGATTTCAAGCTGGGGTTATGGAATTTTCTCATTCTGGTCCCCCAGAAGCATCGATGGCTGGTTACTGCTTTTGAAAACTAGCAACCATGGTTCGTATACCGAAGAGTGAACGAAGAAAGTGTAGGATCTTAAATTTATTGAGACTGTGGATGGGAAAGTGGAGGGAATGGATACTATTAGACTGCTAAGCTTTGTGCAAGCAGAGCTACTGCTTGGAACTAGCAGCTTAATAGAACCAAGATAGGCTACTTACTGGAAACTAGCAAAGCATTTACCGTAGAGTGAATGAAAATAGTGCAGGACTTATGTCTGGTAAACTGTAAATAGGGACATGTAGAAGCTTTGTTTAGGCAAAGATTCTGCTTGGAACTAACAACTTAATAAAATCAAGATAGGTAACTTAATTGATGTTTTTTTTTTTTTGTGTCAATTCCAGATTTATGCTCCAAGGATCGATAATCCAGCTTCGAGGGCATTTGAGAGATGCTCCTCCGACACATTTCAGATATCCGGACCCTGTGCATACCAGATCTGTTATGTGTACCTCTACAGAAGTGGTCCGGACGGATGGAAGCCAGGGAGTGTGAAGATCTATGGCTACAATTCAAGGGCCGCGACCTTCAACTACAACACCTACATTCCAGGTGATCTTTGGTACGGGTTCAACTTTTGTGGCAATGCTGCATCTGGAAGTTCAAGGCGCATTCCAGGATGGTTTGTTTGCGTGATTCTGTGGCTTTTTGGCAGTGCTGTGCTATGAATGAGGGAGTAGAGTTAACACACGCTTGTGTGTCGGTGTTAATTGCTAAAGAGTTGCAGGAAGATGAATTTGGGTTGGAGAGCTATGTTGGAGTATGTATTTGTACTGGATTGTAAGTAGGATTGCTGTGATAACTGATAACTGTAAAACTTTAAGTAGAATGTATTTCCTCTGGAGATTCTAGATTGTTTGTAGGCCCTCTGATAAGAATCCTCCTTTGCTTTTCCTGATTTGTTGAACCGGGAGCTAGGCCAGGCCATGCCACCCTGAAATTTACTGCAGAGCTTTTTTACTAAGTGTATCTGTAATCGGGGCGCCCGGGAGTGTGTGTTGAATGCCATGAGAGCAAAGCTTTGGTGCCATGAGAGCAAGGCGTGGGATTTTGGTCATGTCTTTTCTCAACTTGGACTCCAACAACATTTTCAGACTCCCCCATGAAAGACTTGTGGAGACAAACACAAAGATGTGGACGTCATTACCAAAGCTCGGGTGTGCAGTGGTTTGGATCGGAGAATATTAATGTGAATCGCGATTCAATAGGGAAAGACATTTTAGGATGAAGGACCTGATCAACAGTGCATTCGATTCGGTTCAAATCTCAATTTGATCAATTTTACTTCAGTATTTGTTAAATTCACGAGACCACAGACTATACCATGTTATATTTGATTTTGTATAGTCTGATTCAAGTGTCGATTTGATCCATTGCAGTCCAATACAAACTAACCATTGCATACCAATAACCAAAAAGTGGTATGGTAGGAGGGACGAAGATGCCTACATAGCCACGTGTTGGCTAAGACGCGAACTCGAGCATATGATGAAATTTTTTGGTGCCTATATGTTGCCTATGATACAAACTTAAGGTGACTATTTCTTCCTCGCTACGCCAAGGCAATCATGCCTCCCTGCTAAACCAAGACAACTATTTTGGACATCAAAACAACAATAATGAAACCCAACTCGACTTGATTCATCTATGAGTTTGTCTGCTCAACAACAAAGAATAACTAATCATAGCTTTGTTTCTGAAGTTTGACAAACCACTTTTCTGTTTGTCACTAGCTTTCAATTTTCATCACACACTCTTCTCGCCCCGTACCAATCCTTTATCAAACTCTAAATAAAAATTTGCGATAAGGACAATTCTCTTCAGCTGTCATTAGGACCCCTTTTATTGAATGAATAGCCAATGTAGTCAAAATCGCGCTTTAAAACTTAAAAATTTATGATTTTACGTTTCTAGATCACTAAAACGCTTTTAGATAAAATCCCAGTTTTAATAACTTATGTAGTTAAAAACTCCGCTTTAAAACTTAAAAACTTACGATTTTATATTTCTAGATCACAATAACTTATGGTTTCAATACAGCAATTTAGGGAGGTCGGATGCAAATACAGAAATACTCATAGGCCATAGCAAGTAGCAAGGCATGTATGCAGTTTACTACAACTCTTAGGGGGTTCATCTTTTGACAAAAATCAAATTAATGCCCTAGATTATCAAAATCTGTAAATTAGAGGACCTGCCAGATCATTAACCCGAATATCCTACTTGGGCTGTTTCCTTTATGCCTGCTTGTCTCGGCCGATGGGCCCCCGATCTCTTGACGTGGAGGCGCTAAAGTCAGATATTTATATCTCATTGCTGCGCCAAACGGAACGGGGCTAGGATCAGGTGACTAAGGGGATCCCCTTAGTCACATGGCTAAGTGAATCTCAGTCACACAACTTCATTAAAATCTAAGGGCTCCTATTAATCCAATTTAATGAAGGACAATGTAGTAATTACATATTTATTTTTTATATTTAATTATATATTAAGCAGCCCCGCCCGCACGCCGCCTCCCGTCTCCGTACCGTCCGTCTCGTTTCTTCTTTTTCCCCGCCGGGCATCCGCCATCGCCGACCCAGAGAATTCCATGCGGTCACTTTTTGGGAATTTATTCCCCAAGGAGAGAGTTCTGGGAATTAATTTTTTCCACCAGGTGCAACGAGAGAGAGAGAGAGAGAGAGAGAGAGAGAGAGAGAGAGAGAGAGAGAGAGAGAGAGAGAGAGAGAGAGAGAGAGAGAGAGAGAGAGTTTTCCTGGTCGAAAACTTTTTTCCGGCGAACATCGTCGCGGGAGAAGATTTTCCCGGCGACAGTGCTAATTTTGTGATGTTTGTTGACATATTTTGTAATGTTTGTATGCTTTGTTATTTTATAATGTTTGTCGGTTTTTTTGTAATGTTTGTAAACTTTGTTATTTTTGTGCACCATGTTTGTAAACTTTGTTATTTTTGTCAACCATGTTTGTAATGTTTTTTATGTCTAAAAAACAACCTGGTTGACTTTTGGATGAACCTCCTCTATATAGGGATTGAGCCTCCAAAGTCAACCCGGGTGTTTTTTCCAGTTCGTATGGATTGTTGGTCTAGTTTGTCATTTTTGTCCACCATGTTCGTACTGTTTGTATGTCTAAAAAACACCCGGGTTGACTTTGGGAAGGAGCCCCTCTATATAGGGATGGAGCCTCCAAAGTCAACCCGGTTGTTTTTTCTTTTTGTATGGTTTGTATTGTTTGTCGGTCTAGTTTGTATTGTTTGTACAGTTCCTACGTTTGTAATGTTTGTAAATATGTTTGTATGTTTTGTCGCTCTAGTTTGTACTGTTCGTATGTTTGTATGGTTTGTACTGATTGTAAATCCGGTTTGTATACTTCGTAATTTTCCATAATACCCAAACTACCCCTGTCATTAATTAAATAGCCCTTCCCACTTTTTAACCATTGGATTAAAGTGTTCAGATCTAAGGGCTGGGAGGGGCTTAGTCAAGTGACTAAGCACCCTAGTCACTGGATCCGCTCTCAAACGGAACGTGTTCTAGAAAACAAAAAAAAAGCCCAATAGGATCTAACGGCAACTAACGCGAACTTCTAGGGTTTGACCATCCGACGGCCCAAACCTCCCACCGCAAAAGCATAAAATCAAAACCCCTAACCCCTTCTTCCTCCTTTTGCGATTCTCTCCTGCTCCAGCAATTTTCTGCCACGAAACCCTCTCGTTGGCAGCAGGAGAAAACGCTAGAGGCGCGCCCCCATCAGCCCGCCTCGACTTTTAATTCCTTCACCTCTCGCCGACAATATAGTTCATTCCTTCCTTCCTTCTGCTGTGTCATGCCTTCGATTGCCATGGTGAACCCGTCACCGGAGTCCGCAGACAAGAAGGAGAAGAAAATGAAGAAGATCGCTCTCGATGGCATCGAGTCCGAGTCGGTGAAGAGTAAGAAGAAGAGCTCGAAGGTCTCTGATCAGGAAGAGGACGGGTATTCGGAGAAGAAGGAGAAGAAAAAGAAGGAGAAGAAGAAGAGGAAAGCTGCGGAGATGGGGAGCGAGGATGAGGAGAGGAGTGAGACGAGCTCGGAGCTGGGCGAGCCGGTGAATTTGAAGTCGGAGAAGAAGAGCAAGAAGAGTAAGAAGACGAAGGTTTCCAGTGGCGGGGAAGAAGAAGAGGAGGGGGAAGATGACGACGGTGAGGTCGAGGAGATGAAGCCGGAGGATCCCAACGCCGTGACCAATTTCCGGATATCGGAGCCGCTGAGGATGAAGCTCAAGTCCAGGGGGATTGAGGCGTTGTTCCCTATTCAGGCGAGAACGTTCAATGATGTCCTCGACGGTTGTGATTTGGTCGGCAGGGCTCGCACCGGTCAGGTGAAAATTTCGATCTTTTTCATCATTCAAATTGCTAGGACTGCCGATTGCCGAACATGGCTTTTCTAAGCTTGCTTGTGAGGTTAATTTCTGTACTGATTAATTGGAATGGTGCATTACTGCAGGGAAAGACGCTTGCATTTGTATTGCCCCTATTGGAGTCTCTAACTAATGGACGTGCGAAAGCTGCCAGGAAGATGGGATACGGCCGGCCACCGAGTGTTCTTGTTCTTCTACCGACGAGGGAGTTGGCAGTTCAGGTAACATTAAATGGCACTTGCTGGCAGTGATCTTACCTCTTGTAATGGTGTGCTTTGCTGATTCCTCTGCTTCTGTTTTCTCCCAGGTGTTTGAGGATTTCAAGGTCTATGGAGAGTCATTGGGCTTGACATCTTGTTGTTTATATGGCGGTTCTCCTTACAACCCGCAAGAATCCAGTCTTAAAAGAGGAGTCGATATCGTTGTTGGAACACCAGGGCGCATTAAGGTATAGCCAAGCTACTGCAGTCTTGGAAAAAGTTGTGATTTTTTTGGATTTTCTTACTAAAAATCAATTGAATGCAAATATTCCACAGGATCACATTGAGAGGGGCAATATCAATTTTAGCTCCTTGGTATTCCGTGTCCTTGATGAAGCCGATGAAATGCTCAGAATGGGTTTTGTAGAGGATGTGGAGCTTATCCTAGGTACTATTGTTTGTAGATGTTCTTAGTACTAGTTAGCAGAATTGTATAGGCTGGAATTGAACTTCAGCAGCACCTAGGGTTTTAATGTTTGTTCTGATGGGAAATGGGTATTAACTGTATGAATATTACTTACAGGAAAAGTGGAGGATGTTACTAAAGTCCAGACACTTCTGTTCAGTGCTACCCTGCCTGAATGGGTGAAACATGTTAGTTAATTCTAATCCTCTGCAGATTGATAATTTTAGTAGCTGCCAGTAATTTGACTCATGATTCTTCTCCATGGGTTGACTTGAATTGTTGCTGTGCTCCTGTAGATTGCTTCAAAGTTCCTTAAACCGTCCAAGAAAACCATAGATCTTGTTGGTAATGAGAAAATGAAGGCTAGTACCAATGTAAGACACATCGTCCTTCCTTGTTCTGCATCGGCTATACCTCAACTGATCCCTGATGTCATCCGCTGCTACAGCAGGTTGGTTATCTCCATTAGTGTTTTCATTTTTTTTCTTACTTCATTCTACTTCGATTGTTATTGACAGTGAATGTTTGTTGTTTTCAGTGGTGGTCGTACCATTATTTTCACTGAGAAGAAGGATACTGCTAATCAACTTGCGGGGTTATTACCTGGTGCTCGTCCTTTGCATGGTGACATACAACAATCTCAAAGAGAGGTAAATTGTGTTCCTTTACATATTCTGGAGAATGGAGATGGTATGTCTTACAATTTTTCCATGCCATGCACGCATTATGAAAGATAGTTTATTTGATGCAATACTAGACATGGGTCTGAAATCTGAATCTGATAGAATCTTTGATGAAATACTTATCATCTCACGTACCAATCTTGAGACAAATGGTAACCTCCTTATCTTTGCTAATTTCCTTGCTTGATTCCTGTAGGTAACTCTTTCTGGGTTCAAGTCCGGCAAGTTCTTGACACTAGTTGCCACAAATGTGGCTGCAAGGGGATTGGATATCAATGATGTGCAGTTGATTATCCAGGTATGCCATGTTTTCATGGAAGTTTATGTGTAAATATTGTAAAGCTTCATATTAGCTTTCATGGCAGCCAACCTAATTACATTATCTATCATTCTAGTGTGAACCTCCGCGTGATGTTGAAGCTTATATTCATCGATCTGGACGTACAGGAAGAGCAGGTGTGTATTAATAATCTTTGCAACTGTCTGCAAGTCTGTATATGCATGATACTGACAAAAATCTCATCTCTCCGAAGGCAATACTGGGGTCGCTGTGATGCTCTTTGATCCAAGAAGGGCTAACATTTCCAAGATACAGAGGGAAGCTGGTATAAAATTTGAACATGTAGCTGCACCTCAAGCTGCTGATATTGCCCAATCTGTTGGTCTACAAGCAGCTCAAACGATAACCAAGGTTTCCGACAGGTATGATTCTCGTTCCTCTTTTCTTTGTGAGTTCTTAGGGTATAATTTTTTTTTTTTTTTTGCTGAAGTTAGTTAGCTGTTTTGCAGTGTGATCCCTGCTTTTAAGGCTGCAGCTGAGGAACTATTGAATTCTTCTGGTATGTCAGCTGTGGATCTCCTTGCTAAAGCACTGGCAAAGGCTTCTGTAAGTGTTTACTTAGGTTCTGGATGCTTCTCATTTTGAGTAACATCATCTTGGATTCCTCATTCCATTTCTGCTGACATGCTGTGGTGTGAATTGCCATCATGCAGGGTTATACCGAGATTAAGACTAGATCACTTCTGAGTTCCATGGAGAACCATGTTACGCTTCTTCTCGATGCTGGAAAACCATTCTATTCTCAATCGTGAGCACTACTTTTAGTTCCCTTTTCTTTCTATGCAAGTCTCGAGTGATAAATGATTCTGGTTTTGTCTATTTTTGTTTGATTGCCTGACTTGTGCGTCTGGTTTTTGAATTGGGCTGTCAGGTATGCTTATGGTATGCTGAGGAGATTCTTGCCAGAAGATAAAGTCGAGTCGGTGAAGGGCTTTTCACTCACACTGGATGGGAAAGGTGCTGTCTTTGATGTGGCAGCAGAGGATGTGGACACTTTCCTCGCTGGGGCGGAAAAGGCAGCTAACGTGAGCTTGGAGGTTGTGAAGGCATTGCCTCCCCTACAAGAAAGAGAGCAGTCTAGGGCAAGATTTGGCGGTGGCGGCGGTGGCCGTGGGTATGGTGGTCAAAGTGGTGGTGGTTTCAGATTTGGCGGCAGAGGTGGCGGCGGCAGAGGAGGTGGTGGTAGGGGTGGTTCCGGCGGTGGGTGGAGAGGTTCTGGGAAGAAGTGGTGAGCTCGAGTCTAATTACAGGCTTTGGCCCATTTGAGTTCAACATGACAGAAGCAGGAGGTCGCATCGCAAACTGGATTGCTGGGGACCTTAATTGCTGCTGCTGATGACAACGAGAAAGCTTTCGAACCGGACGTTCAGACTTGATTTATTGCTTCCCCTTTTGTCTGTTTCTTATTTGTCTTTAAATTAGCTTTGTATTTGGCGCTCCTTTTTTGGGGTTTCTCTAATTTTCTGGGGATTTTTGAGCCTCTCCCCCCTATCTTTGAGTTATATTCTGGTAAATGTAAGATGACTATAGAAGAAAGTGATAATCGAAATATGAAAAGTGTTCTTATTGGCTTTTATTCTCTTGCTGTAGTCATCAGGCAACTCTCAACTTGTTATAGGAAAAAGAATCTAAGAAATAAATTATCTAGCTATCGGTTTTAAACTATGAACTTCTATTCTCTACTGGTTTTAAACTTTGAATTTTTACTCTCTAGATGAAGACTGTGATATACATTTCAGAATTCTAAGAGAAAACCAATATCCAAAAGAAAAATTGAAGAATAAACTAATAATTAAATAAAAGAGAAGGATGCACTAATATGGCAAATTCTTATTGAGTTATAAATGAGATTATAGCAGCACAAGATTTTTTTTTTATTGATCCGAGGCAAACGCCAAACAAACACAGGCTGCAGGGGTTAACCCACTATGCAAACACAGCTAACGCTAATAAGTGTTATTACTTATTACTTTACCGCGCCGGTTTCCTCCGTACGTTTTGTAACATCCACAATACAAAAATAGGTAAACAACGAGAGTAGTGCCTCCTCCGGCGATGGCCCAGGAACAGTCCCTACTCCGGTGGATCTCCGGCGAGGTCGACGACTCCTCGTTTGGTCTCAAGCAACTCCTCCAGAACAACAACAGCAAAAACAACCCTGAAGTGACGCGCAGGGTGGAGCGACTCCAATTACCCGGAGGAAGTTATTATGACGGGCAGGGCAGAGTAAAAATCCATCCCTATGCACTGAGCGATGCCGCTGGCTTCTCCTCCACGCCGTTCCGAATCTCGTTTCCATGCTTCGGAAAGCTTCGGTGATATTCTCCCATCTTTAATTTTGATTTTGTTGATTTTCTATGTTATTTCACGTAGATTGAGTTCGCTTTCAATTGAGCCTTTAGATCCCAATATTGTTAGTTTTAGTTGGTTCTGTTTCGTTCCTCTGCTCTGTTTTGGTCCTTTGATTTGTTGCTTACTCTTCAGATTTCTTGTTGCTGATCTAACTATTTCTTTTCTGGAAGCATGCTAGGTTTCTGTTCTTGTTGGTTTTTGCTGTGATTGTTGCAGGTTTGGTGACTTTGCGTTCCTCCTCTGTCCCGTTCCCCTAGCTCTGGCGTTTAATTTCAAGTTCTTCTCCTCTGCCTCCCTTGGCCGGTGATGCTTTATCGGAGCCTCCAACACACGGTGGGCGTGCATATTGGCTGAGTCGGTTGCCGCTCACCCTGCCCGTTGCCCGCTGATCTGCCCTCTTGGGATCTTCATTTATCCCTATCCCGAATGAAAAGTTGCAGCGGTGGGGGTGACTGGTGAGGGCGCGTGGCATCTAACATCCACTAATAGTAAAGGAGTCGTCGACTTCACTTATCCAGTTTTGCTAGTTGGGCTTACCCTATTTGGGCTTCTCATGGGCAACAGTCTGAGCTGGGCTATTATTGCTCGTGGTTTTATTTTAGGAACCTTTTGGGCTTGTGTTCTATTTGTTTGTTGTTTTGCAGGTTGTTTCAGAGGCCTAGAGTTTCCTGCTTGTGGCAACGTGAATCATTGCAATAAGAATATGGTCAGGTTATCTCACATGTGGATTTTCTTTATCTCAGTTATCGGCTGTTTTCTTTTTGCCTTCTATTGGTGCATTTTGCAGGGAATGGTTGTTCTGCTTTTGCTATAGGCAAGGATGATATTTCCTCGGCTTCTTTGGCTTTGGCGTGTGTTGTTTACTCGCTTGTATCCTTTGTTGCATTCTTAGGATACTGACAGAGCTGCCCCTTGAGTGGCTAAAAAGGCTCTTTTATCGGTGGATTGATTAGTTATCGACCGCCGCATTTAATTATTTTATTTTTACATATTTGTAAGCATACTGCATTGTACACCTACCTATGACAGTATACATCTATCTATGACAAAAAAAAAACTCTTTAATAATTACATTCATAAACTTCTGTAGCATTATCAATTCTCACTAACATGTTGAATTTTTAATTTTTATGTTGTATATTTATTTATGGAAAACCTCAAATCTAATGTTATAATTGAAAGTATTTGACTTGTCTAGTTAAGTAATGGATGATTGATTAATTAGTATCATACATATAAATTTTTTAGAGATGGCAACTTTGACCCACCTGTCGTTTTGGACGCTCAATATATAAACTAATTGAGGGTTTAAAAAACCATAATCCTCATATCCTCCTGTGGCGGCCGACTACTCCCCTTCCCTCTCCACTCTTCCTCTTCTTCCCCTCCTCCTTCTTCTGATCGCCATTCTCCATACACTCCTCCCCTCTTCTCTTGCAATCCCAAAATTACGCCCGCATCCCCAACATCCTACAACCCCAAAATTGCGCCCGCATCTCCAATCACACCCGCTCCAGTCACCCCCCTCTCTTCTCTCTTCCTCTTCTTTTCCAAAATCGCGTCCGCATCTCCAATCGCGCCCGCATCTCTAATCCTTGGTTCATGATCCGTGGGGATCCGTGGGTTACCCGGATCCAATTGCTGACGAGGACGACATACATAATCCCTCCATTTAACTTGCAGGGACGAGGAAATCCGTCAGCCTTGATGTGCGGGGATCGGGAAATAGGTACCCGTCCCTAATGTCATCTTTAAAGAATGTATCTCAAACACTTAATCTTATAATAAAAAAAATTAAATAAAAAATAAACCACATATAGACACGCACAACCTTATAACAAAAGAATTAGTTATTAATATAATAATTGATTTTAACAGGGTTTCCAACGAAACTTTTTCCATTATAATTCAGTTTTAATTAATAAATATCCTTCCGCCGAAGGTAACATAACCGCTTTGGTCGGGAGTGTGGTTTTTCGGGTATGAGATGCGTGAGGTTTCAGGTTCGAACTCCGCTACACCACTTGGTGTTCCCGGAGGCACCTCAAGTGCTGGAGACTTTGTCTCCCCCCAGTATCGGGTGCTAGGCCTTGAAAATGTTGCTAATGGGGTTGAGATTCCTAGATAAAAAAAATCCTTCCTAAATTCACTCAGAAGGCTAAGCATCTTCTCAAAACCCCTTTATATTAGTGTTAGGATTAAATTTGGACAAGAGTCCAAATCTAAGGTTGTGAATTAAAGGCTTTTTATTTTCACTATTTGTATTATTTAGCTCTTATCTTCTTCGTTTAACATGGATTTCAATTTTTTTTGCATAAATATAGCGAGTTCGTTGTGATCTACAAAATGATATCAATTTTGTATATATTTCGAGAAAAAAAATTTATACTACTCATATCACTCGCTGCCACCTTCATACCATATGGCATCACATTCGTTTTTAAGTCAATTTTGAAAGTTTTTGTACAGAGGAAAGAGTTCACCATGATCTACTGGATCTACAAATTACCGAGAGAAAAAATACATGACCAAAATATACCACATCATACCACCTTGGTATATGGGTGGTATCTTGTTGTACACAATGTTGAAAGTGGTAAATAATAATTAACATATTCTTACTATCATGTATTCGTCCAAGGGAAATCGATGTGCCATGGTTCAAGCTTGCTTGGAAAGGTCCTGCAATCAGTAGAGATCAGTTCTTATGTTGGTTGATCTGGAAAGTGTTCCTAACCACTTGTGACAAGTTAAGAAGTTGGGGATATCAGGGGGTTTTTCAATGTGAGTTTTGTTGCGACTGCAGCCTTGAAATATTTAACCACCTATTTTCCGAATGCTGCATCTATAAGAAAGTGTTCCAAACCAAAGAAATGAAAGTACTTGCTTGGAACATGAGGGGATTTAATCACCCCGACAAGCAGCAGCAGATTCTGGAAATAGTAAATAGAGAAAATGTGGATGTTTTTGGTGTTATAGAGACTCGGGTGAAGGAAGGAAAATCAAAAGAAATTATAGCTTTGAAGTTTGGTAGGTGGGAGTTTGCTCATAACTATGAGTATTCACTGTTAGCCAGGATACGAGTTTTTTGGAAAAAGGATCTAGTGTTAGGAGATTTTAATGCTATTCGTGGAGCTCATGAGGCTTCGAATAGTTCAGTAAGAATGCAGAGTATGGTGGATTTTGATGAGTGGATTACTAGTATGGAGTTGGAGGAATGTAGTTTTGATGGTCCTTGGTTCTCTTGGACTAATCGACAGGAAGGGAACCCTATAGCTAGGAGAATTGATCGTGTGTTAGTTAATTCTGGTTGGTTGACTGCTTTCGCTAGCTATGCAGTTAAACTTCTTCCGCCCAGATTATCAGATCACTGTGGCTTGCTTATGGATTCTGATACCCACATTTCCTCTCTGCCTAAGCCGTTTAAATATTTTAGCAGCTGGGAATCTCACCCTCAGTACAAGCAGATTATCAAAGATGCTTGGAGCAAACATTTCAAAGGTACTCCTATGTTTATCGTGTGCCAGAAGTTGAGGGAGGTTAAAAGGCAGCTGCGTAAACTGAACAGATCTTCTTACTCAGAGATTTCTGAGAGGGTGAGGCTTGCAAAGGGAGAACTTGAAAAGATGCAGTTGGAGGCTCTCTCTCAACCTTCCTATGAATCGTTTAAGCAAGTAACTGATTGTCAGACTCAACTCTTGACTCTGCTCAAGGATGAAGAGGTCATTTACAGGCAAAAGTCTCGGATCCTTTGGGTTAAGACTGGTGACCTGAATACCTCATTTTTTCACAATTGTGTGAAGTCCCATCAGGCTCGTTCTACTATTAAAAAGATCATCTATGAGGAAGGAGTAGTCTTATATGAGGTTAAAGAAATGAGTGAGGAAGCTGCTCGGTTTTACCAAAATCTGTTGGGTACAAGGAATACTGAGGTCCAGAGGATAAGTAGTAGTCTGCTATCCCAGTTACTAGTCCATAAACTAAGCTCTGATCAATCAGAGCCTCTTTGTAGACCAATAATCAGAGAAGAAGTTAGAGTTGCTCTATTCTCTATGAATGGAGAGAAGTCACCTGGACCAGATGGCTTCACAGCAGGGTTTTTTCAGTTTAACTGGGAGATTCTGGGAGATGATATCACTACTGTAGTATTGGATTTCTTCAGAACAGGCAAACTTCTCTCAGAGGTAAACTCAACTTACCTTGTTCTTATTCCAAAGGTGCTGAATGCTGAGTGTATGAAGCAATTTAGACCAATATCTTGTTGCAATATACTATACAAGTG